TATCTGCCCCTATGTGCGCTGATGATCGCAAGTGCGTGAAAATGTGGAGGTAACCACAGCTTAATAAAGTTAACTAATTGTTATAAAAAATTTGGCAAGCAAATAGTTATTTTTATTTTAAATTTCAAATATGTGTCACGTCACGTCAGATTGTAAATAATTTCATTGCATGGTATTTTGTTTATAAACAATTTACTATCAATTGCAGCTTATGCAGGTAGAATCAGCATATAAAGGTAAATTTATTTAAATATAAGTTCACTGCACAAAGTTTGCCTCATTTTGCTTCTGATTCTGGGAATTCTGGAATTTCGAGCAAATGCCTTCAGTTAGTGATTATGTGTCCGTATGCCAAGTTTAATTATGATAGACCGATTTAACTGGACGTTATAGCCATCAATATAATTGCTGCCCAAGCGCTGCCCGCAGCTGTTGTTGATGTTGGTGCTTTGGTTGACTTCAAAAATGTTCACACAGACACGAATAGACACGCATAGACATACATACACTCACATAGACGCACTTGCTTTATAAATGTGCAATTATACACCCTTTGAGTGATTTCGAATACCGAGATAGGTAAAATCGATCAAAATTTGTTTAATTTCTATAATTATTCTAAACATATGTACAGAGTATTTCAAAGTCGGGACACCCGACTTTAGCTTTTTTTAACTTGTTTTTCCTCAATTATATTAAAGTTTTTATTTTTTATTTTTATAATTATTCTACACAGCCGCCTTTTGCTTTTCCACATGATAATACTATCTATTTATATGTGGTATCGGATATGATTCCATCTGTCTGTTACAAATACTCCGTTTGGAATATATTGTGTCTTAGGCTAAACATACAGAACGTCAGGCAAACAATTTAGTTAAGAACTAAAATTACACTGTGATTAGAGCGATAGGTGTAACGCTATTAAAAAGATGGGTGGTCTTGCACAAAGATTGGCTTAGCAAACTTTCTACACACACATTTATGTATACTATTTTATAGACCTCAAATACGAGTATTTCTATGCGCTCCATAAATAAGAATAAATACTGTTATATTCTTAACTACAAGGTATTGCCCGTCTTAACCCGGCTCAATATGTTTCCAATTGTATTTATTTTGTGTGTGCATAACCTACCCATATGTTTTCACCTTAATGGTTACCAGTAGGAAGGCATTTAAGGTATTTAAATGAACATTTTCTGTTCTTGACAAAAAATTGTTCAGTAGGCTATTTCGTTAAACGAACATGACCACTATAACTAATATTTTTTAAAGCTCGTTTTCCCCCCGTTGGAGCTAGAATTTTCCAAAAGCCTTTCTTAGTGTGCTCCTACACTATGATGGATACTATGAAACGATACTTGAGTCCAAATTTAAATTCACATTTGAGTCTTTTCGTGCCATATTGAGTCAATACGGCCACGCACAAACTCGGAATATGAAACACGGCACTCGTCAATGCCGTGCAGCGATGAGCCACGATCAAAAAGCACTGGCACCGATACCATCAAACTATCGAAGTTTGAATGCAATAAGCAGAATATTTAAATAATGAAATCGAATTATTTATTGACATCAATAAGAACAAATCATATACATACATACATACATCTGCCCGCAATGCGAAGCAGAATATGCGTAGGTCCGTTATTCGGTTTCTGCTTTACTATCGCTTACGCAGTCGTTGCCTAGCGACGGTAACTGTAACATTTTGGTGTTTTGCCTTTGCAATTAACATTAAATGGTCAAAACGAAAGAAGAAGAGCGAGCTAATGACTTGCATTTGTTGTTGTTTTTAGAGCATTATTTTTTTTTTACAATCAAACAACTGTGTTCGATTGCCCAATGTATACATTAATACGAATGTACATACATGCTATATTCATACACAGGCATACATACATATGTACATATGTTTCTCTTTACTTTTTCAACCGTACGTAGAGAACCGCACACATAGACACGAACTGTTGCTTGTTGTGTGTGAGTGTGTGTATGTGATGTCCCCAACTATTTGATATTTGTTGTTGCTGCATAAAGTTATTAATGAAAACACTAATGCCAAATGCACTAAACAAAGAAAAAATTACTTTAAAAAATGTTATATAATTTTCAATTAATTAACATTTCTTGCTCTGTCAGTGCAAGACGAATGTACATACATACATATGTAGATACATATGTACATAGATGTGCACATACATATGTATCTATGGACATTCACACATTAGTGTCTCACATTTTGCTTTGGCTATTTCAATCGTTTGCACGCAACTACACGAACAGCTGTTTGTATGTGTGTGTGTGTGTGTGTGTGTGTGTATGTATACTTAGTTGTCCCCAACTGTTTGATATTTTGTATTGTTTGTTCTGCCTGCTTTTGTAAAATGCATATTTTGAAAATCCTTGAATGCAAAGTTGTAGATTTAGTTACGTAGATTTCATTATCCAAATTTTAAATCGATCGGACTAAATTTATAACACAAACTTTTCATTTGAAATAGTGAATAAATATTAAAACCCCAATAATTCAAGCTCCAACACAAATTTCGAAAATGCAGTTTTGTTTGTATTCTTTAGTTGATTTTAGAAACTAAGTCTTAAGTCGATCGGTTGAAAAATGCGGATTTTTCAAACAAACTTTGGAGCTATTTTTCCCCCCTTTGGAGCTCGAATTTTCCAAAATCCCTTCTTAGTGCTCATTTACACCATGATAGGATACTTGAGCCCAAATTTCAGCATCCTAGCTTTTACCGTGTGGGCTGTGGGCTGTTGACGCGGTTTGCTTTTGTGCCCCAACATTTTTTTACAGGAAAACTCCCATATTTTAGGCCCCAAAAAAATATCAAAAAACCAAGTATACAGTTTTTCTTGGAATTGTTCTGAGAGTATACAAACTAAGTTTAACGTTAATTAGATGAAAACTGTAGATTTTTCATACAAACGTTGGAGCCTGTTTCCCCCCTTTGGAGCTCGAGTTTTCCAAAATCCCTTTTTAGTGGGGACCTAGATTATGAAAGGATACTTGAGTCCAAATTTCAGCTTCCTAGCCTTTACCGTTTGGGCTGTGCGTTGATCACCAATCAGTCAGTCAGTCAGTCAGGACAAGCTGTTTATACTCTGTACATGAAATGTACAAGAGTATATTAGGTTTGCGGGAGCTGAAACATGTAACAGGCAGAAGGAGGCGTGGCAGACCCCACAAAGTATATATATTATTGATCAGCGTGACAAGACGAGTCGATCTAGCCCTGTCTGTCTGTCTGTCCGTCTGTCCGTCCGTATGAACACCTGGATCTCAGAGACTATAAGAGATAGAGACACCAAATTTTCCACAAAGATGCGTTATGTGTGTATTCTATACGAGTTTATTTTATTTTTTTGATTTTCCCCCCACTTCCCCCCTTTGGGGGTTTTCCCGATTTTCCATTCGTATAATCGCCTATATCTCGGAGACTATAAGACCTAGGCACATCAAATTTTAGTCCAAGATGCCTTGTGTGAATACGCAGAAAATGTATATTTTGGAATTCCCCTCCCTCCCCCCTCTCCCACGCAAATGCGATTTTCTCTAACTCCCGTAATTCTTGGAATTTCGAACTAAAATTTTGCAAGTACCCCCAGTTAGTAATTATGTGTCCGTATGCCAAGTTTCATTATGATAGACCGATTTACCAAGAAGTTATAGCCATAAATATATTTGCTGCTGCAGCGCTGCTCAAGCGCTGCTCAGGCGCTGCCCGCGGCTGTTGTTGATGTTGCTGTTTGGTTGACTGCGAAAATGCTTACACAGACACGAATTGATGCGCATAGGCATACATACACTCACACAGACGCAATTGCTATGTAAATGTGCAATTATACACCCTTTACGTGAGTTCGAATACCGAGAGTGGTAAAATCGATCCAATTTTTTTTTCTTTTTTTTTTTTTTTATTTTCTATAATTATTGTAAACATATGTACAGAGTATTTCAAAGTCGGGACACCCGATTTTAGCTTTTTTACTTGTTTATATATATAGATTAAGAGTAAACAAAAATAATTTAAAGATAGAAAATGCTGCATATCAACTTTTATAAACTATTGTTTTTCCAAAAATATTTATATACATATTTTGATTACTAAGTTAGTATTGCCGAAAACCCAGTACTAAATAAATTATTATTGTGCAGTCATGTGTTCTTGGTAGCGTAAAGTGGAAGTTAACGTGGTAGGTGTTCAAAGGTCATATTTCCAACGTTTACATTTAAAGCTTTGTTAAAACGCATGCGCTAAATGAAAAGCTTTCAGGCCCAGTTTGGCTTACACCTGCTTTAGAATTGCAGCGTGCTTGTTAGTCCTGATTCGCGTCTAGAAAAGAAATAAGCAAAATAACATAGTGTTCGTTGTGGTCCTACATGCATATGTATTTATATATGTATGTATGCTCAAAGAGATATGTGCATGCATATGTGTGAACCAATTTCGGAATTGAAATAAAAATCCCAATTCAGAAGTTCAAATATTAAATGAAAATATGTGCATAAAAATACCCCTTACTATTCAGTATACCACTTTTGATTGTGAAAACTAAAAAGTCTGCTATAACAAATTCGGTCTCTAAACGGATACCTCGGTTGGATGCTGGAATACATACCGCATATGTACATATGTCAATAAGTACATAAGAAGTTCTTCGAATATACCTACAGTTGAATGAAGCTAAGAATCATTTAATATACCAAAGTGTGTTTCTTTCTAGTGGTGTGCTTAAAAATTGCTTGAAATAAGAAAAGAAGCCCAGTATACTAAATGCTTGTTTTGAAAACAATGTAAACGTTACATGAAATAATTACAATAGATAATATACGAGTATATGGCTTATTACATTACTACGTACATAAATTCCATTCAATAAACATGTTGAGGAAAACTACATAAAAATTCTCTAAAGCTACGTATACGATGCAATGTATTTAAAAATTGGATTCTTGCTTTAAATACTTATAATAATTGGTTGGTTGCGAATTCTGTGACATGAGCTTACAAGATATGGAAGTATTTGTATTACTAATATTGTCATCATATTTAATGGATATAAGTTATGGAAGCAAGGATGGTTAGTACTCTCATATCCATTAAATTTTATATGATTTTTAAGTATAGTAAAATTTTTTTTGCCATAAGTGTGGCAAAAATTGACTTTAAAGCCCATAGCTAATTATGTATTAGTTAATATTATAAAAATGTTAAGATTAATATATAGATATAGACATTCAATTCAAACTTTGCAACATCTTTGGGTATACATACTTACTATATAAGCAACAAAGTTATTCAAACAAATGCTTTTGAAAATCGAAAAACCTAAACTGGATTTGCCTTGGGGTTAGAGAAACATGGATATCACGATGGTTATTCTATCTGTTTAACTTGTTGAAATCCATAAATACATAAAATGTACAAGAGTATATTAGGTTTGCGGGAGCTGAAAATGTAACAGGCAGAAGGAGGCGTGGCAGACCCCACAAAGTATATATATTTTCTTGATCAGCATGACGAGACGAGTCGATCTAGCCCTGTCTGTCTGTCTGTCTGTCCGTCTGTCCGTATGAACAACGGGATCTCAGAGACTATAAGAGGTAGAGACACCAAACTTTGCACAAAGATGCGTTATGAGTGTACGCTATGCAAATTTGTTTTATTTTTTTGATTTTCCCCCCACTTCCCCCTATGGGGGTTTTCCCGATTTTCCATTCGTATAATTCGTAAAATTATGTGAATACGCAGAAAATGTGTATTTTGGAATTTCGCTCCCCCTCTCCTATGCAAATCGCGATTTTCTCTAACTCCCGTAATTCTTGGAATTTCGAAATAAATAATTTTGCAAATACCCGCAGTAAGTTATTATGTGTCCGTATACCAAGTTTCACTATGATAGACCGATTTAACAAGAAGTTATAGCCATAAATATATTTGCTGCTGCAGCGCTGCTCAAGCGCTGCCCGCGGCTGTTGTTGATGCTGGTGCTTTGGTTGCCTGCGAACATGCTTACACAGACACGCATAAACATACATACACTGACATAGACGCAATGGCTTTGTATATGTGCAATTATACACCCTTTACGTGAGTTCGAATACCAAAAGAGGTAAAATCGATCCAACATTTTTTTTGTAATTCTCTTACTTTTTTAAATTTATATATTTATTATAAGCATATGTACAGAGTATTTCAAAGTCGGGACACCCGACTTTAAATTTTTTCCTTGTTTTAAAGAACCACTGTGCAAACGCATGAAAAAACCTGTAAGAAATACTATATATACACACAAGCATACCACTATAAAAATTTCACACATCACATGGCACGAAGCACAAAGTTGAACCAAAGCAGCAACAACAACAACAGCTGCGGGCAGCGCTGCCAGCAAAGCTGCAGGCAGCGCATGAGCAGCGATTTTATTTATGGCTATAACTTTCTTCAGAATTGACCTGTCATGATGAAACTTGGCACATGGACACGTTAGTATTAGGTGGATGTACCAACCAAAATTAATTTCAATTAGGAATTTATAAACAAAAACACGAATTGCGGGGGAGTGGGGGGTGTATCAGAATAAAAAATAAACTTGACCTGCCTAGGACTTAGGGGAACCTCGATACCAAGTTTGGTTATTCTAGCTCTTGTACTTCCTGAGATCCTTGCGCTCATACAGACAGACGGACGGACGGACATGGCTATATCGACTCGTCTTGTCATCCTGATCAATAATATATATACTTTGTGGGGTCTGCCACGCCTCCTTCTGTGTGTTACATACATGCGCACAAAACTAGTATAGCCTTTCACCCTTTGGGTACAGGCTATAAAAATAGGGAAAAATGAAATTCAAGATAATGCAAATTTGAAATTTCCAATGCAGTAAAATGTAAAAAAACTTGCAAAAAACAAGATAGAACGCTACAGTCGGGACAAGCCCGACAGTAAAAAAGCCTGTTATCTCCACAAAATCGAAAAATTAAAAAAAAAAAATTTTTTAAAATTAAATTATTAAAACAAGTAAAAAAGCTAAAGTCGGGTGTCCCGACTTTGAAATACTCTGTACATATGTTTACAATAATTATAGAAAATAAAAAAAATTAAGAAAATTAAAAAAAAAATACACATTTTCTGCGTATTCACACAAGGCATCTTGGACTAAAATTTGGTGTCCCTAGCAAAAAATAAAACAAACTCGTATAGCGTACACACATAAGGCATCTTTGTGCAAAATTTGGTGTCTCTATCTCTTATAGTCTCTGAGATCCAGGTGTTCATACGGACGGACAGACAGACAGACAGGGCTAGATCGACTCGTCTTGTCACGCTGATCAATAATATATATACTTTGTGGGGTCTGCCACGCCTCCTTCTGCCTGTTACATTTTTCAGCTCCCGCAAACCTAATAAACTCTTGTACATTTCATGTACAGAGTATAAAAAATGAATAAATTAATAAATTAATTAAATTAAATTAGAATACATGTTTATGTTAAGTTTTAATAGCACACATTTACATCACGTACCTATGCGTGTTTATATGCGTGTATGTATGCAGCACAAAGTTGAACCAAAGCAGCAACAACAACAACAGGATGAGCAGCTATTTTACTTATGGCTATAACTTTCATCAGAATTGACCTACCGTGATGAAACTTGGCACAAGGACACATAAGCACTAACTGGATGTAACTACCAAAATTGATTTCAAAATTCCAAGAATTACGGAAGTTATACCAAAAAACACGAATTGCGTGGGAGTGGGGGGGTGTATCAGAATAAAAAAAATAAACTTGATAATCGCCTATATCTCGGAGACTATAAGACCTAGGAACACAAAATTTTAGTCCAAGATGCCTTTTGTCAATACGCAGTAAATGTGTATTTTGGAATTTCCTTCCCACCCCCCTCTCCCATGCAAATCGCGATTTTCTCTAACTCCCGTAATTCTTGGAATTTCGAATGTGTCCGTATGCCAAGTTTCATCATAATAGACCGATATAACAAGAAGGTATAGCCATAAATATATTTGCTGGAGCTTTAGTTGACTGCTAACATGCTTACACAGACACGAATATACGAGCATAAACATACATACACTCACATAGACGCAATTGCTTTGTATATGTGCAATTATACACCCTTTACGTGAGTTCGAATACCAAAAGAGGTAAAACCGATCCAAAATTTTTTTTAAACATATGTACAGAGTATTTCAAAGTCGGTTTTTTTATTCATACGGGTACATACTTTAAAATTATTGAAATCTAGATAAATAATACCGGCGGCGAAAAAATAAAGAGGCGTTAAAACGGAGAGAAAACAAGAAAGGAATGCTAAAGTCGAGCTTATATACCCTGTACCACCCCACAAAAAAGAAATCAAATTAATTAATTAATTAATTAATTTAATTAATTAACTAAATTAATTTTATTAATTAACTAAATTAATTTAATTAATTAACTAAATTAACAAGAAAGAACGCTACAGTCGAGCAAGCCCGACAGTAAAATAGCCTGTACTCTCCACAAAAAGGAAAAATTAAAAAAAAATTAAATTATTAAAAAAAATGAATGAATTAATTAATTAAAATAATTAATTAAATTAAATTAGAATACATGTTTATGTTCAGTTTAAACAGCATACATTTACATCACGTAACTATGCGTGTTTATATGCGTGTATGTATGCAGCACAAAGTTGAACAAAAGCAGCAACAACAACAACAGCTGCGGGCAGCGCTGCCGACAGAGCTGCAGGCAGCGCATGAGCAGCGATTTTACTTATGGCTATAACTTTCTTCAGAATTGACCTATCATGATGAAATTTGGCACACGGACACATTAGTACTAACTGGATGTACCTACCAAAATTGATTTTTAAATTCCGAGAATTACGGAAGTTATAAGAAAAAATACGAATTGCGGGGGAGTGGGGGGGTGTATCAGAAAAAATAAACAAACTCGTTCTGCCTATGGCTTATAGGAACCTTGATACCAATTTTGGTTATCCTAGCTCTTGTACTTACTGAGATCCTTGCGCTCATACAGACAGACGGACAGACAGACAGACGGACATGGCTATATTGACTCGTCTTGTCATCCTGATCAAAAATATATATACTTTGTGGGGTCTGCCACGCCTCTTTCTGCCTGTTACATACATTCGCACAAAAGTAGTATACCCTTTCACCCTTTGGGTACAGGGTATAAATATGTAATTTTTCTAAAGGGTGCTGCTCTCAGTTTGTAAATCAATTTATAGTATCAAGTCTAGTTAATTTTCTAAAAAGAATTCGTATGCTTCTCAGTTGAACAGAACTTTTTTTACAAGCTAACATGGATTGGATCTGTATCAGGGGTCGGGGCAGTTATCAAAAGAAAGTTATGGCAGATAAAGAAATCTCAAATTTCGACAGTTCAGAACTGAAACTGCATTTTCTGAACTGTTAAACCAAAACTATTTTTAAGAGATAATAATGCACAACATTCTAAAATTAGTCACATTAATATATATTGCCTCAGGTTTCGATAAAATCAGCGAACTGGTGGCCACAAAAACAACTTATTTGCCCCGTTTGTCCCGTTGCCCAAAATCAACCTTAGCACCAAATATAGGGCTAGTTAAGAGTTGTATGTTGAGCATATTAACACAATGTTTTCGTGCCCATATATATATATAGGTATATATTCTCAACATTATATCTTCACAGCAATCTAGCTGATAAATTAACCGTAGCCATAAAATGGATGTATTTCTTTCGTGAATTTTGTACAATGCGGCACAAATTCAAATTTGTCTGCAAAAATTTTTTTCCATTTAAAATCAAGGGGGGGGGGGAGGAGGGGGGCAGCTGCCCGCTTTGCGCCCCCCCTCGCTACGGCCATGGCCATTATGGTTGAAATAATCATAAAACCTTTGCCTAATGATGTTAGAATGCACACAAATTTTTAAGTAAATACCTTTCATAGTTTAGGCTGGCGATAAAAAGGGATTTTGGAAAATTCGAGCTCCAAAGGGGGGAAATCGAGCTCCAAAGTTTGTATGAAAAATCAACAATTTACATCTGATTAACTT